GTTGTATTTATTGAGATGCGTTTGCAGGGGGTGAAGTCTCAACTCCTGGTTCCCCAGATATTGCCGGTATTATGAATTCCTTGTCTCTTGAGACATATTGTACCTTCTTATGAAACTGTGTATGGGTTTTGCCTTCACGATTCCTTCATCTAACTTATTTCACGTATTTACCGCTTTATAATTGAAGAAGTATTTCCTAACATCCCTGAGCGCGCGCGTGTGTGTGTGTGGGTGTGTGTGTTGGTGTGTGTGTGCTTGTGGGGATGGGTGTGCTTGTGGAGATGGGTGTGGGTGTGGGGATAGGGGTGTGGGAGTGTTTGTGGACGTAATATTACAAACGTGTAATTTTCACGTGAGGATGATCGAGTGCTTCATGTGTTATTCAAGATCATCTTTGTGACGAGGACGATCCCTTGTAACACGTCGCCATTATGTATATGAATGTGTGTATATATATAAAATATATATATAAATATATATATATATAATATATATAATATATTTTATATATATATATATATATATATATAGATAATATAGGATGGGGTCCACCTCTGGTGTAAATTGTGGGACCCATAGCCCGGAGAAGTGGATAAAAAGGCTTCAAGGAAAAATATTTGGATTTCTTCCTGAAGCCGTTTGAATATTCCACTTCCCCTACCACCCCATCTTTTGAATATATTTTTTTTTCTAATAGGAATATTTTATTACATAATATGGTACAGAGATTTAAGAGATACATTGTTGATATAAAGGTGGCATATACGGGACATGTTGTTACGTGTGTGTCACCGATTATAAGGGGAAATCTCATCCAGCTCCTCAGAGCTGGGCGTGCCCAGAATACAGCAGGGATTACCCTTTGAAAGCCGCACTGAGCCGCTGGAACAGAAAACTAGCTGCCCTGGGATATAATATATTTTTTTTATATATAAATATTATATTATATATATATATATATATATATACATATATATATGTCGTGCCGAATATGTAAAACTGGTCAAATTTGCAAGAACTCATTTAAAAATTAAGTCCTTTCTAAAATTTTCTCTTATACGTTTTAAAAATATATTTTTTTAATTAATGATATTGTAAAGAATTTAATTTTGGCCACCAAAAGAATCTTAGAAAACTTACCTAACCTTATTATAACAAGAACAATTTATTTTTGCCCAACCCAACTAAATATATTTGATTGTTTACAATAATTAATACTAAACAAACACAGTGAAATATATTTTTTTTCGTTAGGTCCAAATGATTTTGGCGAAATTATTGCATACACAAATTTTCACTTGTCCTATATGGCAAGAAAGAGCGTTGCTATTTAAGCCAAGATCGCAAGTTCTGCCTATTCGGCACCCATATATATATATATATATATATATATATATATATATATATTTTATATATATATATAAAATATATATATATATATAATATATATATATATATATATATAATATATTAAAATATAATATATATATATACATATTTTTTTTTTTCAACAAGTCGGCCGTCTCCCACCGAGGCAGGGTGACCCAAAAAAGAAAGAAAATCCCCAAAAAGGAAATACTTTCATCATCATTCAACACTTTCACCACACTCACACATTATCACTGTTTTTGCAGAGGTGCTCAGAATACAACAGTTTAGAAGCATATACGTATAAAGATACACAACATATCCCTCCAACTGCCAATATCCCAAAACCCCTCCTTTAAAGTGCAGGCATTGTATTTCCCATTTCCAGGGCTCAAGTCCGACTATATGAAAATAACCGGTTTTCCCGAATCCCTTCACTAAATATTACCCTGCTCACACTCCAACATCTCGTCAGGTCCCAAGTACCATTCATCTCCATTCACTCCTATCTAACACGCTCACGCACGCTTGCTGGAAGTCCAAGCCCCCCGCCCACAAAACCTCCTTTAAACCCCCCCTCTCCAATATATATAATATATATATATTATATATATATAATAAATATTATATATATATAATATATAAATATTTTATAATATATATAAATATAATATTTAACAATTCGCAGACAGACGACATTATTCACAAACATTATTTCTCAGACCTCAGCAGGACTCGAACCGGCAAGCTCGGAATCAGAATACACAGTACTTTATCCACGACGCCAGATTGCAGATAAGTATGGGCACCTAGCCGAAGCTAGATGGTAATTCCCATACCCCGAACACCAGGCTTGTACATAGTTATTTCATCAAATTTTGACACATTCAGAGAACAGCGAGAAAGTTTTTTTTTTTTTCTAATGCTTAACTTAAGATCTCCAACCATAAATAAGAAAAATGAAAAATGTGTGGACAAAATCTCCATGTTTTTAAAGCTTATCTAGGTGGTGACTTTTTTTATATTATAATATATTTTGATATTTTAATTAAAATTATGAAGTTGAAACGATTATTTTGCTTCTTTCCCGAGATTTATTTCTAAAACTTCTTGCGAAAACAGTTCCAACTGA